AGAAAGATATAAACTCACAATTCTGACAACTTTATATCTTGCAATTCTGACTATTTTTTCTCGCAATTGTTAGTTTATGTCTCGCAATTCTGACATTTTTTCTCACAATTCTGACAGTTTTTTCTCGCAATTCTGACTATTTTTTCTCGCAATTGTTAGTCTGTCTCACAATTCTGACAATTTTTTCTCGCAATTGTTAGTTTGTCTCTCACAATTCTGACATTTTTTTCTCACAGTTCTGACTATTTTTTTCTCAGAATTATGAGTTTAAATCTCGCAATTCTGACATTTTTTCTCACAATTCTGACATTTTTTTCTCACAATTCTGACTATTTTTTCTCGCAATTGTTAGTTTGTCTCTCACAATTCTGATATTTTTTTCTTTACGAGAAAGTCAGAAAGATATAAACTCACAATTCTGACAAGTTTATATCTTGCAATTCTGACTATTTTTTCCCGCAATTGTTAGTTTATGTCTCGCAATTCTGACATTTTTTCTCACAATTCTGACAGTTTTTTCTCGCAATTCTGACTATTTTTTCTCGCAATTGTTAGTCTGTCTCACAATTCTGACAATTTTTTCTCGCAATTGTTAGTTTGTCTCTCACAATTCTGACATTTTTTTCTCACAGTTCTGACTATTTTTTTCTCAGAATTATGAGTTTAAATCTCGCAATTCTGACATTTTTTCTCACAATTCTGACAGTTTTTTCTCGCAATTCTGACTATTTTTTCTCGCAATTGTTAGTTTATGTCTCGCAATTCTGACATTTTTTCTCACAATTCTGACAGTTTTTTCTCGCAATTCTGACTATTTTTTCTCGCAATTGTTAGTTTATGTCTCGCAATTCTGACATTTTTTCTCACAATTCTGACAGTTTTTTCTCGCAATTCTGACTATTTTTTCTCGCAATTGTTAGTTTGTCTCTCACAATTCTGATATTTTTTTCTCACAATTCTGACTATTTTTTTCTCAGAATTATGAGTTTAAATCTCGCAATTCTGACATTTTTTCTCACAATTCTGACTATTTTTTTCTCGCAATTGTTAGTTTATGTCTCACAATTCTTACTTTTTTTCTCACAATTCTGACTATTTTTTTCTCGCAATTGTTAGTTTATGTCTCACAATTCTTACTTTTTTTCTCACAATTCTGACTATTTTTTTCTCGCAATTGTTAGTTTATGTCTCACAATTCTTACTTTTTTTCTCACAATTCTGACTATTTTTTTCTCGCAATTGTTAGTTTATGTCTCACAATTCTTACTTTTTTTCTCACAATTCTGACTATTTTTTTCTCGCAATTGTTAGTTTATGTCTCACAATTCTTACTTTTTTTCTCACAATTCTGACTATTTTTTCTCGCAATTGTTAGTTTATGTCTCGCAATTCTGACATTTTTTTCTCACAATTCTGACTATTTTTTTCTCAGAATTATGTGTTTAAATCTCGCAATTCTGACATTTTTTCTCACAATTCTGAAATTTTTTCTCACAATTCTGACTATTTCTTCTCGCAATTGTTAGTTTGTCTCGCCATTCTGACATTTTTCTCACAATTCTGACAGTTTTTTCTCGCAATTCTGACTATTTTTTCTCGCAATTGTTAGTTTATGTCTCGCAATTCTGACATTTTTTCTCACAATTGTTAGCTTGTCTCACAATTCTGACTATTTTTTCTCGCGATTGTTAGTTTGTCTCACAATTCTGACATTTTTTCTCGCAATTCTGACTATTTTTTCTCGCAATTCTGACTATTTTTTCTCGCAATTGTTAGTTTATGTCTCGCAATTCTGACATTTTTTCTCACAATTCTGACAGTTTTTTCTCGCAATTCTGACTATTTTTTCTCGCAATTGTTAGTTTGTCTCGCAATTCTGACATTTTCCCTCAATTCTGACATTTTTTTCTCACAATTCTGAGTATTTTTTCTCGCAATTGTTAGTTTATGTCTCGCAATTCTGATTTTTTTTCTCACAATTCTGACTATTTTTTTCTCAGAATTACGAGTTAAAAATCTCGCAATTCTGACATTTTTCTCACAATTCTGACAATTTTTTCTCGCAATTGTTAGTTTATGTCTCGCAATTCTGACATTTTTTTCTCACAATTCTGACTATTTTTTCTCGCAATTGCTAGTTTATGTCTCGCAATTCTGACTATTTTTTCTCGCAATTGTTAGTTTATGTCTCACAATTCTGACATTTTTTTCTCACAATTCTGACTATTTTTTCTCGCAATTGTTAGTTTATGTCTCGCAATTCTGACATTTTTTTCTCACAATTCTTACTATATTTTCTCGCAATTGTTAGTTCATGTCTCGCAATTCTGACATTTTTTTCTCACAATTCTGACTATTTTTTCTCGCAATTGTTAGTTTATGTCTCGCAATTCTGACTTTTTTTCTCACAATTCTGACTATTTTTTTCTCAGAATTACGGGTTTAAATCTCGCAATTCTGACATTTTTTTCGCAATTCTGACTATTTTTTCTCACAATTGTTAGTTTATGTATCGCAATTCTGGCATTTTTTTCTCACAATTCTGACAATTTTTTCTCGCAATTGTTAGTTTATGTCTCGCAATTCTGACTCTTTTTTCTCGCAATTGTTAGTTTAAATCTCGCAATTCTGACATTTTTTCTCGCAATTCTGACAATTTTTTCTCGCAATTGTTCGTTTATGTCTCGCAATTCTGACTTTATAACTTGCAATTGTGTGTTATAATGTCAGAATTGCGAGATATAAACTTGCAATTCTGAGAAAAAAGAATGAAAGAATTACGAGTTTAAATCTTTCAATTCTGACTTTTTTCTTGAAATTGCGAGTTCTCTCACAATTCTGACTTTTCTCTCACAATTCTGGCTTTTTTCTCAGAATTGCATGATATAAACTCTATATAATTATGGGGGAAAAAGTCAGAATTGTGAGAAAAAAAGTCATATATAATATATAATATTATATTATATTACTTTATATTATTCCCTTGCTACTTTTTATGAGACTAAATGCTGCCCTTAATGAATGAAAGGTGTCTCATATTTTATAAAGTATGTATGTATCCAACTATCAGGAAAAAATAGGAGAATGTATACTACTGTTAAAAAGTTTGGGGTCAATCAGTTTAACAAAAAAGAAAAAAAAGAAAAATCTATATTTTTATTCAGCAAGGGCAAGGATGTATTCAATTGTTCAAAAAAGAAAAGACACTAATAATATTACTAAATATTTATATTTCAAATAAATTAATTTGTTTTGATCTTTCTATTCATCACAGAATCCTGGAAAAATGTATCAGGGTTTCTACAAAAAAAATGAATCAGCACAACTGTTTTCCACATTGATAATAATAATCAGAAATGTTTCTTGAGCAGCAAATCAGCATATCAGAATGATTTCTGAAGATCATGTGACACTGAAGACTCAAGGAATGATGCTGAAAATTCAGCTTTGACTTATAAATTACATTTTAAAATATATTCAAATAGGAAAAAAGTTATTTCATAAAAACAGTATTACTGTTTATTTGTATATTCAAATAAATGCAGCCTTGGTGAGCATAAGAGACTGACCCCAAACTTGGCCGAGCCTCTAATACCACAGACAGAACAAGGAGCGGGAAACAGACTACATGGAGAAATATGAATGAACCGAACAGCAAAGCTCAGAATGTGGACTGTAGGAACAGAAGTCCCTACATTTAATTAAAACAACCAATCGGCTTAATGGTAAAGGCCCTGCCTTGCCTTAACTGCTCTAGAACACACATTAACTGAAGCAACTGATTGTAGCCAAAGATGGTAAATCTATGATACCAGTTCTGTCAGAATTAACCAACTAAAAAACTTTCTGAAGTAAGAGTTAAAGGGGTCATATGATGCGATTTCAAGTTTTCCTTTCTTCTTTAAGGCCTTTCCACACTGAGCGCGATGCAAAAAAGCGAGGCGAATCGCCAACGAACGGTGCTTTCACAATGAGCGCGAAACGAATGTTCGCCTTCTGCTAATTCATGCCTGCACACTAGGTGGTGCCGACCAACAATGCATTTTTCCTCAGATATGTATCTCGTAAATGGATTTAACATCGTCCAAATAAGCAGACACATGCACTCTTTGTATGTTTAATAACGTTACACTGCTAATATTTGTCATAAACATCCTTTATTGCTATAAAAATACACTGAGCTGCATACAAAACACATACAGATAATATATTGTCATAATCATGTCTATTTGCTTTCATATTTCATGTGTAGAAAAAGAGTGAACGCGCTCTGACTCATAACACTCGCGCACGTGGAAGAAAACGGACGGTGCTCTACAGATCACATAAATCAGTGGACAATTAATAGAAATGTTATTCTGTATAAAGAACAAGTGAGAATAAATCTGCTCTCAAATACCAACGATAACAAGAACTCAGCATCCACTCTCTTCTCTTATCCGGGATACTCTTCTTCTGTGTTTGTTTACACTGGTTTTCAAAACAGCGCCACCACTCTTGCCTTTTTGTGCAACAGCTGCTGCTCCGGTCACGTGATCCTAGCTCAAATCTTATTGGACGGCCGTGTTTTCGCTTTGCGAAACTGAAAAGATTTGTCGGACTGGTGCAGGAAAAAAAAACATTTGCATTTTCGGAGCGCGAATGTTTGCAGTCTATGTGGAAGCCTCCATAGAAAGGTATTGTTTTTTATTCCAGCGCGTCATCACGTCCGATATTCGTTTCGCTTTTTCGCGCTCAGTGTGGAAAGGCCTTTAGACCCAGGGTGTAGCATTTCTCAACACATTGAGCCACGGTACTCATGTAGGTGACATGTTCAAATCCAGCAAGCAACACTCCCTGATCCCTCACCGAGTGATCCTCTGTCCTCTCTCGTCAATCCGTTTCAAAAAGTGACAAAAAGTTAAATGTCAGAACCAGAATCACGCACTACTGCAAACAAACCTTGAAACAGCACAACAGCAGCTCAACAACACTTCTATAGCAATGCAACACATGTCTACCTGATCTCCATTTGATGATGTCAGTGAATTCGCTGTTGTCTCCGGCCTCAGAGGCCTCTGACATTGTGCCCACGGTAGCCATCTTCCTTCTCAGGAGTCACGGGTACGTCTGACACGCTGAAGCAGAAATCCGGCTCTCCTTTACATATACAGCCCACTGCAAATCCCTGCAAAAGAGCATATCCCATCAGCCTGAGCTCTTTGAAATGCAACACTTTTATATTGTTGTCACATGACCTCATTATGTTACATGTTTAATTCAGAAGGTAGCATTCAGTCATCACCCCAGAAAAGTCAAATTTCCGTTTGGTTTCCAATCCAGTTTTGTGTAAAAATATTTTCATTTCACATTTATGCACATTTCAGCAAATGTAGTAGGCCATTCCATGAATGCAGAATATCCACTTACTGTCTTACATAGTGCACGTTGCTCTTTGAAATGTTAACACAGACCACAAGCGACGGGGGCAACCATGTGACCTTACTTTTTCGAACAACTGCAAAGCTTTGTGGGAGAGCTGGAAAGTGCAGAGCAGGGAGAGGCCATGCCGTTTCTTCTAGAATCAAATGAAACTGTTTCAACATGGGCGTATGAACTCTTCTAGGTCATCCGGAAAGTGGGAAGAGGAGTGAACACAGTCTGAGAATCTGTTCAGCAATCCACCAAGTTGTGAGCCCCAAATGCTCACATGGTAAACTGCAGTGATGTTACGAGTCTGAGTAAATATGAACTGGTGTGGACTGAGCCAGGGCTGCGTTTCTCAAAAGCATTGCAAGCTAAGTTGATCGTAGAGACCACTGGTGGCAAACTGGCAATGGTTCTACAGTCTACTTAGGCTAAGTAGGAAACGCAGCCCAGAGCTGTGAGACTGGAGGGGGCTATTGTTGATGGCACTGATGTTTGCTAGCAGAGGGTGTTATATTTAGGTTTACATTCCCTAAACCTATGCAACAAATCCGTCAATGCACATTTCATAGTGCATCACTACTTCAAAAGCTGAATTAAAATTGCATTATTGAATGATTTGACAAATTCTGCAAAATGACTAATCTCGTCCTCCCATTGAGTAGTGCAAATCAGATGGCTCATGGCATTCAGAGATAAAGTATGGGTGCTGAGAGGCTGCTGCAGAGAGTTTGTGATGTCAAGATTGACCTGAATCAGGGAAAAGCTACAGTGAGATCAACAGGGCAGGTGAAAACATCGGCCCTACAGCACCAACAGGCAGATGCACAATCAGGAGTAAGATGTTATCACCACATTAAGCACCCATACCAAAGAACACCCATCTGAACGAGGGTGGGACCAACTACCACACGAGAAAAACCAGGTCCTTTGTGTGTGTGTGTGTGTGTGTGTGTGTGTGTGTGTGTGGGACAAGTTGTAACAGGAGCTGTCACCCAGCCAAACAGGTGACCACGTATTCATTCTGTAGCTCCCCCCACATTCCTGCCCTCAAAACACGCTCACTGATAAGGTCCACACCAACACCAGACCTCTCAAAACGGCACTGCAGCAGCTGATGGACACAACGGCTGGGTGATGTTATTGATTAGTAATGAGGCAATGAGCAGGAATGCCGAGAGTCGCTGGAGAGAACAGAAACACAGCCCCCTCTGATAATAATTTACAGCATGTCTTGTCCTTTAAAGGCTTCAGCTTTATAAGCAAATGTGCTGGCATGCAGCAAAAGTGAATGACGTAAATGGCTAACTTTAGATTCCTGCATAGAAAAACCATTTTCTCAACTTCCAAAAGACTTGTACATGCATTCTTGCATAAAGTTTTTCGTTCATGCATGCTTATAAAAACTAGATGCAACGGTCAATAGCAAAAATGACTTGTGTGTTCAGGATAAAAAAAAAGCCAAAATCTAGAGAAAAATGCCATTTTTAGAAGCAAATCGTGAGTTGAAATACATGGCCATCTTACCTGCCAAATGTTCTGCATTGTGAAAGTGTACAGACCCTAACAACAACTCAAACTAACCCCCAAAAACCATAACACTGACCCTAATAGTCATTAATTGGGATAAATGACTCTAATCCCAAACAACCTTAACACTGACCTAACCCTACTTAAACCTACACAACTCCAACTTTAACCTAGCCAAGCCCAACTCTAACTAAACCTTACTTTAACCTAACCAACTCTGCCTAACCGTAGATCATGTGACCCTAAACCCAACCTACCCTACCATTTACTAACTCCAACCATAGCTTTAACTAACTCCTGCAATCCGAGATCAGTCCAAGTTTGTTTATTGAGTTTCCTACAATACAGCAATCAAACTTCTCACTAACTTCCAGGAATTAAAGGTCAGAAAGACCATCAGAGAAACCAAAGGAGTAAATAACACTCACTAAACCCACTTAAAGCATTTCACAGATGCATAGCCTTCATCGGATTGTTTGTTTGTTTAGTTTAACTTGTTTAGTTAATTTAGTCAGTCGGGTTCAGGCGCCCATAACTCAACAAACATCTCAAAGTTTTGTAAACACGTGTAAGTGTGATCTGAAAAGCAGCAGCTCTCACCTTTGCGTGATGAATCTCTCAGTGCAGTACAGTGACTTTGTATCATTGAGAAAATAATGAATGATTGGCTCTTGGCATGTTCAGCGCTCCACACTTCACTCAGCTCGTCTAATGCTCCAGATCTCTGCTCAATGCTTTCACAAACTCCCTCCAGGAAGCAGCAAAGCTATCCAACCCGACTGTTCAGGCACTCCTGGAGCGTTTCAGCTCTGCCGCAAAGTTTCCTTTCCTCATGAATAACAAAAGAAGAGTAACAGCGCCAGCTCTCTCCAGCAGCCCCGCCCACACTCGCAGCAGGAAGGTTGAGTGACGAGCGCGTCCCCGTGTGGAATTTAGTGGACGGTGATGGGCAGAAACTAGTTACTGTAATAACATTACTTTTTACAGTAACTAGTCGTGTAACTAATTAATACGATTTCAGTAATAATATTACAGTTAACATCCATAAAACAGCTAGTTAGGCTACTTAGTTACTTTTGATGCCTTAACCCCTACTTTTTTGAAATCCAACAATTCCTAGATTTATCAGGAAAGCTTAAAGCTTACATTCAGGGGATGGAAATATTGCCATTACACTGATTTTGTCAGGAGAAAAGCTGATCTGAACACAGGTGTGTAAATTGTGGCGTTACTTTACTCTGGTATTACACGGCTTGCCCACCCACATCCCTCTGATCCCCATAGAAATTATATTACTACACTCTAAAAAAATGCTGGGTTAAATACAACCCAGTGCTGGGTAAAATAGGGACAAACCCAGCAATTGGGTTGTTACTACCCAGAATGTTGGGTTAAACATTTAACCCAACACTGGGTTGTATTTAACCCAGCATTTTTTAGAGTGTATAATTAAAAAATCTTATGAACTTATGTGAATTCTTTTGATAAGATACTGCATGAAATGTAATCATATTTGGGTAACAGAGAAATTATAGCTTCAAGTTACACATGACAATTAATAGGCGACACCACTTTTACTTAAAAGTCACTATCAATCACCATTGAGTGTCTGTAAAAACTTCTGACTGCGATCCAATGTAGATTTTGGTCAAATGGTGAGGCAGAAATATATTGTTAGTAACATTTTAAAATAATTTTATGAAAATTACATTTTTGGCGTAACGAGCCCAACACTGTTAATAACATTTAAAATATACATTTAAAAATGTAATGTGTTTCATATAGCCTGTACATACACTCTAAAAAATGCTGGGTTAAATATAACCCAGCGCTGGGTTAAAAAGGGACAAACCCAGCTATTGGGTTGTTTTGACCCAGCGGTTAGGATGTTTTGACCCAGCTGTTGGGTTGTTTTGACCCAGCGGTTAGGATGTTTTGACCCAGCTGTTGGGTTGTTTTGACCCAGCGGTTAGGATGTTTTGACCCAGCTGTTGGGTTGTTTTGACCCAGCGGTTAGGATGTTTTGACCCAGCTGTTGGGTTGTTTTGACCCAGCGGTTAGGATGTTTTGACCCAGCTGTTGGGTTGTTTTGACCCAGCGGTTAGGATGTTTTGACCCAGCTGTTGGGTTGTTTTGACCCAGCGGTTAGGATGTTTTGACCCAGCTGTTGGGTTGTTTTGACCCAGCGGTTAGGATGTTTTGACCCAGCTGTTGGGTTGTTTTGACCCAGCGGTTAGGATGTTTTGACCCAGCTGTTGGGTTGTTTTGACCCAGCGGTTAGGATGTTTTGACCCAGCTGTTGGGTTGTTTTGACCCAGCGGTTAGGATGTTTTGACCCAGCTGTTGGGTTGTTTTGACCCAGCGGTTAGGATGTTTTGACCCAGCTGTTGGGTTGTTTTGACCCAGCGGTTAGGATGTTTTGACCCAGCTGTTGGGTTGTTTTGACCCAGCGGTTAGGATGTTTTGACCCAGCTGTTGGGTTGTTTTGACCCAGCGGTTAGGATGTTTTGACCCAGCTGTTGGGTTGTTTTGACCCAGCGGTTAGGATGTTTTGACCCAGCTGTTGGGTTGTTTTGACCCAGCGGTTAGGATGTTTTGACCCAGCTGTTGGGTTGTTTTGACCCAGCGGTTAGGATGTTTTGACCCAGCTGTTGGGTTGTTTTGACCCAGCGGTTAGGATGTTTTGACCCAGCTGTTGGGTTGTTTTGACCCAGCGGTTAGGATGTTTTGACCCAGCTGTTGGGTTGTTTTGACCCAGCGGTTAGGATGTTTTGACCCAGCTGTTGGGTTGTTTTGACCCAGCGGTTAGGATGTTTTGACCCAGCTGTTGGGTTGTTTTGACCCAGCGGTTAGGATGTTTTGACCCAGCTGTTGGGTTGTTTTGACCCAGCGGTTAGGATGTTTTGACCCAGCTGTTGGGTTGTTTTGACCCAGCGGTTAGGATGTTTTGACCCAGCTGTTGGGTTGTTTTGACCCAGCGGTTAGGATGTTTTGACCCAGCTGTTGGGTTGTTTTGACCCAGCGGTTAGGATGTTTTGACCCAGCTGTTGGGTTGTTTTGACCCAGCGGTTAGGATGTTTTGACCCAGCTGTTGGGTTGTTTTGACCCAGCGGTTAGGATGTTTTGACCCAGCTGTTGGGTTGTTTTGACCCAGCGGTTAGGATGTTTTGACCCAGCTGTTGGGTTGTTTTGACCCAGCGGTTAGGATGTTTTGACCCAGCTGTTGGGTTGTTTTGACCCAGCGGTTAGGATGTTTTGACCCAGCTGTTGGGTTGTTTTGACCCAGCGGTTAGGATGTTTTGACCCAGCTGTTGGGTTGTTTTGACCCAGCGGTTAGGATGTTTTGACCCAGCTGTTGGGTTGTTTTGACCCAGCGGTTAGGATGTTTTGACCCAGCTGTTGGGTTGTTTTGACCCAGCGGTTAGGATGTTTTGACCCAGCTGTTGGGTTGTTTTGACCCAGCGGTTAGGATGTTTTGACCCAGCTGTTGGGTTGTTTTGACCCAGCGGTTAGGATGTTTTGACCCAGCTGTTGGGTTGTTTTGACCCAGCGGTTAGGATGTTTTGACCCAGCTGTTGGGTTGTTTTGACCCAGCGGTTAGGATGTTTTGACCCAGCTGTTGGGTTGTTTTGACCCAGCGGTTAGGATGTTTTGACCCAGCTGTTGGGTTGTTTTGACCCAGCGGTTAGGATGTTTTGACCCAGCTGTTGGGTTGTTTTGACCCAGCGGTTAGGATGTTTTGACCCAGCTGTTGGGTTGTTTTGACCCAGCGGTTAGGATGTTTTGACCCAGCTGTTGGGTTGTTTTGACCCAGCGGTTAGGATGTTTTGACCCAGCTGTTGGGTTGTTTTGACCCAGCGGTTAGGATGTTTTGACCCAGCTGTTGGGTTGTTTTGACCCAGCGGTTAGGATGTTTTGACCCAGCTGTTGGGTTGTTTTGACCCAGCGGTTAGGATGTTTTGACCCAGCTGTTGGGTTGTTTTGACCCAGCGGTTAGGATGTTTTGACCCAGCTGTTGGGTTGTTTTGACCCAGCGGTTAGGATGTTTTGACCCAGCTGTTGGGTTGTTTTGACCCAGCGGTTAGGATGTTTTGACCCAGCTGTTGGGTTGTTTTGACCCAGCGGTTAGGATGTTTTGACCCAGCTGTTGGGTTGTTTTGACCCAGCGGTTAGGATGTTTTGACCCAGCTGTTGGGTTGTTTTGACCCAGCGGTTAGGATGTTTTGACCCAGCTGTTGGGTTGTTTTGACCCAGCGGTTAGGATGTTTTGACCCAGCTGTTGGGTTGTTTTGACCCAGCGGTTAGGATGTTTTGACCCAGCTGTTGGGTTGTTTTGACCCAGCGGTTAGGATGTTTTGACCCAGCTGTTGGGTTGTTTTGACCCAGCGGTTAGGATGTTTTGACCCAGCTGTTGGGTTGTTTTGACCCAGCGGTTAGGATGTTTTGACCCAGCTGTTGGGTTGTTTTGACCCAGCGGTTAGGATGTTTTGACCCAGCTGTTGGGTTGTTTTGACCCAGCGGTTAGGATGTTTTGACCCAGCTGTTGGGTTGTTTTGACCCAGCGGTTAGGATGTTTTGACCCAGCTGTTGGGTTGTTTTGACCCAGCGGTTAGGATGTTTTGACCCAGCTGTTGGGTTGTTTTGACCCAGCGGTTAGGATGTTTTGACCCAGCTGTTGGGTTGTTTTGACCCAGCGGTTAGGATGTTTTGACCCAGCTGTTGGGTTGTTTTGACCCAGCGGTTAGGATGTTTTGACCCAGCTGTTGGGTTGTTTTGACCCAGCGGTTGGGTTCAAAACAACCCAATAGCTGGGTTTGTCCCTTTTTAACCCAGCACTTGGTTATATTTAACCCAGCATTTTTTTAGAGTGTAAAGTATATATGTACAGCATATTACACAACATTAAAAGCACTCACAGTTGAAGTGAATGGTTTACCTACAAAAAAAAACGGTAAAAGGAAGGACAACCGTTGCGTATGGAAAAGAAATTCAAATACAACAACCATGTGTATTTTGTTTGATTATTTTTTATTAGATTTTATAATACACAAACACTATGCTGATTAAACAACTTTACAACACAATATAAAAATGCACTACCATGTTACATACAGCCATGCCTCCAGCAAACTGTAGCCTAAACAAAAATAGCATATATTTCAGAAGCAATATATTAAAAAAATGACAGATGCGAATATAGATGCAACATTACAGAGGTGTTGAATCTTATTCAGATTTTTGGTCTATAACAATGTGCATATAGTATTATATATACTCCATATATACTGTATATAACTGTTGTTGTTATTATTATTATTATTATTTATTGTCTATTCTATTTATTATTAGTGTTTTATTACCTTAAATTATATGCATGTCTGCACTATGTACTTTCTGTACTGGAAGCTCCTGACACCAAGACAAATTCCTTGTGTGTGTAAACACACTTGGCAATAAAGCTCTTTCTGATTCTCATTCTGATATTAATGTATTTACATATTTTGTTATGAAGCTACATTGCAAAGTCAATAAAATAATCTTTTTTTTTTTTGAAAACGACATCTGAATTTTATTTTTTAATAATATGTGATGAAAATGAAATATTTAGCTGAAAGTTAATTTAATATTGTTTTATTAAATATATTGAATTATTTAGAAGAAGTTAATTTAAGTTACCAATAGGAGGCAGTATAAGACCACCCATTTAACACGATATCGAGTCGTTTTTGAAGTTTTCCTTATTTGTTCTTTCATCCAGCAAGTGTGTGTCCTCATATGTTCCGCTTCATGCACTTTATGTCATACGCGCTCTCAGCAGCAGCTTCATCTCCTTTTAGTTATCCAGAGCGGATCAGCATTTCTGCATCCTGAAAAGTATTGCATGCAACAAGCAGCGTGCAAATCGTTTTTGCTCTCCGTGCATCTTTAGATTTTCTCATGGACGTGATGTGCGCTGCGGTTGTGGACGTTTATCTTCGACGCAAATATGATGGATATAAAAATGAGAACATTTTACCAGGAGTGGGGTTCGAACCCACGCGGACATACGTCCATTGGATCTTAAGTCCAACGCCTTAACCACTCGGCCATCCTGGTGAATATACAACTACCTATAGCCTGAACACAAATTTTTATAAACAACATGCAATATGAACTATGACTATTAACTGCTGCTGTTGTGTCTCATCTCCGTGGATCTGTTTGTGGTCGTTCTTCTATAGTTTCATTTAATTTTCAGAGCTGCACTGAATGCTGTGCAGCTGCAGAAACTGACTGTTAGCGTGCTAGCTGACTCACTTCCGAAAACCAAAACTTATTATTTGGTTGATAACTAGCTTCAAAGGTGAAGACAAATTATATGAATGTTAATGCTTGCATTACTGCTTGCAGTTTTATAAACAGTATTAGAAGTATTAGCCTAGTAGGATTGTTAGCCGTTTGGTTAACAGTTAGCAAGCTAAGAACCGGCTAGTGAACACACTCAAGCTCCTGACACACTCCCATCAAAACAGTTTCAGTATTTGCGTTGAAGTTATAAACTATTTTTGAAAGTGAAAATATTTAAATGAACACCTTTAATAATAATTAATTATATTTATACTTTGCTAACATCAGTACCACATCTGTTTACTTACTGTTGTCCAAATCTAATCCTAACATTCCTGAGGATGAAACTGATTTCAGGCAGTATTGCTCTGTCACTGACACAGTTTGGTTGTTGTTGGTAAATCAGCTCGACAGTGTAGCTATGTTGGGGACTAGTGAAGACCAGCATAAAAAGCATTGTCATGAATGACAGCGGCCATTCAGTCACCAGCTCAACCAGATTGGCTGGTCTAGGCTTTGTTCACCAGGAAAAACTCTTCATACAATAACCTGAAAACAAAACAAACTTATCACAATACACTGAAATAAACCATGAATTCATTTATGTCTAACTTTATCCTATTCTCCATATTATTTCCAGCTAAACATTGCAGGTTCTATTCGAAACCTTTAAACATTAAAAAAAATGACTAGCATTGCTGTTGAAAAAACAAGCTAAAACCAACCTAAGCTGGTTTGCTGGTCTTAGCTGGTTTTAGCTGGTCTCCCAGCCTGGCTAGGCTTGTCAAGCTGGTTTTAGCTGGTTGTTCCAGCTAAGACTAGCCTGACCAGCTAAAGAAGTGGTCAAAAGTTGACTCAAAACCCCTCTAAAACCAGCCTGCTGACCAGCTATGACCAGGCTGGATGACCAGCTAAAACCAGCTAACCAGCTAGGCTGGTTTTAGCTGTTTTTTTTTTAACAGGAACATATTAGTATGAAAGTGGAAATCAATTGAAAATAAGAGCAAAACTGGTAGGCCTAATGAATTAGTTCAACACACTCTCATGGCAATTCGTAACTACTTCAAACGATGGTGAATTTGTACAATCTCATTCATACATTTTGTGGTAGGCACTTCATGCCTACTTTTTTGTTTCTAGAAAAACAACAACAACAACAACAACATACATTTCCTTATAAATCACATCATGCGAATTCATTCAAAATCGACACCTTGAAAATACATGTTTTCTCATGAAATTGAGTTAGCATTGTTATTATTCTTTCATGGTTTGTTACAGTGTTCTGACATACAACACATTTTAACACTTTTAAATTCATTTATGCCACTAGACATTAAAAATACTGATTTACTCACCCATTGTAGGTGACATTCCTCTTTAGGATGGAAGCGTGTCGATGATTCTAGAACTCTAAACGTCATTTCACACAAGATGACACTCATTGGCATCTTTATTAATACCGTGTAACAGCCCAGGTACATTTTCCTTCTTGTCATGTATGGAATATTATTCTCCTTCTTGATTGTGTTATTTACCTGGGCTACAAGAAATGCGAAAGCGTTCCAGATGTTACCAGTGTAAGCTACATTACTTTGGGGAATTATTTTGAGAAGCAAACATGTACTGACCTGATCTTCTGGTTGTCTGAATTTCTCCTATCCACTGTTGTGTTCTATGAATTTTTCCTTGAGTTGTTGACTGTGGTGTGCGGTGCCAACGCAGGTTTCATGCGAGTGTAAATGCCCTCCTACACTGCTATTATGACAGCAGATCTCTCGTGATACCACGCCTTCAAACACATGCTGAAAATGGTGCATTGGATATTCTGTTGGAACAGCAATGCTAAAATAAATGTAAAAAGTGCTTTTAGTGAACCAACCATACAAGGACATCCATCCAAACACTAATGGTATTAGTCAAAAAACACATTTGTGAGGACTTTGCAAACACCTAGCCTACCTATATAAGGTCTAACAAATTCATATCGGAGCAAAAAATGTAGGTGAAAGGAACTGCCTGCAGAGCTCGGAGACAGGATTTTGTGACGCACAGATCTGGTGGAAGACGTCACAAGAGTACTCCATAATTGGTCTCCATAATTCTTAAATGGAAGAAGTTTGGAACAGACAGGAGCATCTAGGAACATCTAGGATTCTTCCTAGAACTGGACAACCAACTGAGCAGTCGGAAGAAAAGGGCCTTGATAGTGAGGTGACCAAGTAGCTGATGGTCACTCTGGTTGAGCTCCAGAGATCAATCGTAAAGATGGGAGAAGCTTACTGAAGGAAAAACGTCACTGCAACATTCCACCAATCTGAAGATACAAATTACCTAAATAAACAGTGCTTGTGAAAACTGTTTTACTGTGTTAAGTAAATACACAAAAATAAAGTTACAGAAGTTACAGAAGTAAAGATCAGCGAGAGATACTCTATTGTTCTTTTGAGGTTTGATTAACATTATTAACATTCGAAATGCATGGTTATACTGACGCACATCCAATATTTTCTTAACTGTTTTACTTGTTACTTGCGTGCTGTTTTCTGTGTGCGTGGTACTGGGGAACACAAAAGCACTCCAGTCGAAGAAAACAAAACAACAAAAGTGCATTTTAATAGGTGTAAACGGGGCCTGTGAGTGACTCAACCAGAGAGCAGACTTGAACCCAATCAAACATCTCTGGAGAGACCTAAAATGGCTGTCTACTTAACAGTCCCTGTCCAACCTGACAGAGCTTGAGAAGATCTGCAGAGAAGAATGGCAGAAAATCCCGGAATTAAAAGCTTGTCGCATCAAACCCAAAAGACCATACACTGTAAAAAATGACCGTGAATTTAACAGTAAAAGATTGTAAAAATGCTACAGTAAAAACCTGTTAAATGGTTAACAGTAAATTCCCCTACTATATACGGTGAAAAACTGTATTGGACATTATGTGTAATTTTACGTTTTTGGAAGTGAAAAAGACCGTATAATTTACAGTGAATAACCGTAAATTGACATTCCCAGAATTCCCTGCGTTACATTTCAGATTTGGTGTTTTTTTTTGTTGAAATAACTGTTTCTTCTTAGTTTTTTGTTATCAGTCTTGTATATTAGGGTTGTGTGTTACACCTAATGTTGTTAAATGAATGTTTATTGCATTATTTCAGTTTCATGTGTGTTACCATGATGGTGTTTAGTGTTTGTGTGAATGACACTGTGCACCTTCTATATATGTTATTATTTAAAAGCTGCTTGTGATGGGCTTTGGTTCATCATGTGACTTTCTCATCACCACCTGCATTTGGTGGTTATCAGTGTATTACAAAGGTACAAAACAGATTTCAGTACTTCAATAGGTTGGTATATTTACATTATTTCAGTTAATGAAATTACGGTATTTAACTGTAAATTTAAGTTAAAACTGTAAAACCTAAAATGTTGCTACCATATTTTTTACCACAGCTGCCGGTTTTTTACCGTACATTTTACAGAATTTTTTTTTACAGTGTAGGCTGTAAGCACTGCCAAAGGTGCTTCAAGGGTCTGAATACTTTTGTCAGTGTGATCTTTCAGTTTTTCTGCTAAGTTATCGAATCTGGTTTTTGCTTTGTTATTATTGGGTAGGTATGGAGTGTAGATTGATGTGGGAAAAATATTTAAAACATTTTAGCACAAGGCTGTCTGTCTTCCACAGAAACATTTATTCACTTATGTACTGTATATTACAAATAACGCACAGTGCTTTCAAGCTGTATATATCAGTATGTGTGTCTCTCAGTAATCAGACCCATGAATCAGAAATTGCTACTATGTTCTGCCAGTTGTGCTTCAAAAAACACAAGTTGATATACAGTATAAAATAAGCATAAATGATAGGCTACTTTTGTGTGTTATGTATAAATGAAAGTCATACAGGTAAATCAGTTACAGACACACCACTGCATCATGATGAGATACTGTCCATATTTACATGACATTACAGATGGAGGAATTGTAAGAATTACCAAGAAGCTTAATTATGTTGATAAATATCCGTTTTTGCAGTTCATTGTTGACCTATGATTATCATTTAATACAAAACAAGAAACTACACATATGAAACCCCTAATTTTTGACTTAAATGTATGTTTTTGCCTTTTCCTATGATGCAAAGTGATGAAGGAAGTGAAATGTTAACTTTTAAAGCAAACGACTAGTTATTGGCCATTAATAAAACAATGTACAGATGAGTCTGGCACTGAGATTTTCTGCACACATTAAATACAGCAATCCCTTCTGTTTCCTGTAGGGGTCATTACAATGCTTTGACCTCAGAGCCGACTGCTGGCACAAAGATCAAATACACACTTGACATTGCATACTCTTTTTTTTTTTTTTTTTATTACAGCATGGATTTCTATGAACAGATGTGATGAAGCCTCTCTCTGCGCCTCCTCCCTTTGGCGGTCACATGGTAGAGATCGACATTGTTGCCTGAGTACGCGTCTCTGTAGGTGGCGCGGAACACGGCCTCCCTGGCGACCTCAGTGGCCTCCTGTGCGCTCATTCCCCAGAAAACGCTGCTGTCCAGGATCGAGTATGCATAGGGAGACCCCGAGCCCACAGAGAACAGCTCCCCCTGCAGGCGCAGCCCGTCACTGCACACATAAATAACCCGCGGGCCGCATATTCTCATATTGTCGAACGACTTTTGGAGACTTGTTGGGTCATCCCCATCCCATCCACACAGCTTGGCTGCGACGCACAGTTCCGTGCCTTTGAATGGATGCATCGGTTTGGCAGCGCCCCCTGTTGACAGCCTGCGGCGGTGTCGAAGCTGGTACAGCCTGAGCTCCCGTGCCAGGAGTCAGGAGGTGGTGCCGACCAGGTGAGAGTAGATGGGTAAGACCTTCGGGGACGCGGGACAGGCCACCAGCCCCGAGCAGCTGGAACGCCTGTCGGCTGCGGCGATCACTCCTCCCTGGAACGCGAAGCCGAGAGTCGTGGTGCCGTGAGAGAGAGAGAGAACGGTAACGGAACGGAGGGAGAGATGGGGCAAGGTGTGGGTGGAGGAAGAGAGATGGACGGCAGAGAGGGGTGTAGATGGTCTATTTTCAGTAGGTTTGTCGGCGCTGAACTGAGGCTTGTTTGACCAAAGTTTACAGGGCTCTCTGTAAGGTATCGGCATGTAAAACTCCAGAGGACTCAAGCCGCCCCTCCCAGGCAGCCTTGTAGAAAGAGCTTCTCCGTGAATCCCCCCTCCGGACAGATGAGTGGAATCTTCCGGCATAAAGAACCGTGAGAGTGGAGCACTCCATTGAGGGAACAGAGGGGGGTTGTGCAAGCCGCATACATCTTGCAAAGCCATAAACTATTGTGTAGATATACAATAAATTGTAAATCTTTCAGTTATTACAGTGTATGACATAAACTGCAAAAACACGTCATAAATAAGCTGTGAAGGTTTTCAGGCCAATTTTTTTCCTTTCAATATTGTCTTCTTATAGGCCTATAGCATTCCTACAGGTGGGTCAGTTTGTTGGTAAAGAAGTCCTGGTTTACTTCAGAATTGGATTCCACTCGCATTCCTGGTGTTTATATCTTCTTGTGGTGACTGGCTGTTGAAACATAAATCAAACATGCCTAGCCTCTTCTCTAGACCACCACTGTTCCTGATCCAGACTTTACTCTTATGGAAAACCAAAAGCAATGAGTACCATCGATTCAGAATAAAATATACAACTCTCCATCCACTTGACGTCTCAAAGTTCAGTCTTAAACCACTAGTATCATAAGCTCAGTAGCTACAGCTGTAAAAGCTCAGGGGCTCTTTATATAAGCACCATTCCCTGATTGACTCAACCAGAAACGCATGAAAATGCTAAAGTAAGCCTTACAATCCAAGCTTGATGATACAGACCATGCAATTTCATTTTCAAAGCATGTTTTGTGTTGTTGTCCTGCATAGTGTTGTTATAACAACCAATTCCTTATACATAATGATATGCTATAAATGGGGCAAAGGGGTTTTTAACATAATTTTGAATTGACATTTACTTGATTGTAGTGACAGAATATATATTTTTAAAGTGACAGTACAGACATATTATAATTTTACATGAAACTATACAGTATTACTGTATTTTTCATCAAATAAATGCAGCCTTATTAAGTAGTTATAAGAAACTTATTTCAAAAACATCAAAAAATGTGTCAATTAAACAGACAACAATTCGAAAATATAATAATACAGTCATTCTTGAGAAGTGGGACAAAACAGGGTGCAAAATTGAAAAAATAAAACCTTGTACTCAGACAAATGAAACTACATTTATGCATCTTATATGTACTGAGCTACTGAGCCAGGAAAATCGTTTCCAGGTGTATCTGTGCGTGTTATTGCTGGTATGTATCCTAACAGAAAGTAGGCTACCTTACCATATTCTGACGTGGTACTAGGGATGCTAACAATTAATCGACAATCAATTAATTGTCGATAAGACATGTAATCGATTAAAGCTATTTATGGTAGATTAAGCTATAGTTTGGGGGTGCGTGCGGCTCATGCGCAAAACAGCAGCAGCAGTCTGTGCGTGACGGTGACCGCTGGATCTTTTGAACAAATAATTCACACAATGTACAAATTTTAATGTGATCCAAAATGTAAAAGTACATTTAAATAGAAACAATACAAAGGCCATCAACATGGAAAGCAATAGAAATGTTGTAGCTAGCCATAAGTCAAGTTTAATTATATTTCCCCACAAAGATAATTGTGTCATCATATATTGGGCTCATCCCTGGTCTCATCTTAATGTTTTCTCCCAATATTCCAAAGCAAACGACACTGTAAATGGTAAGAAAAGCGAATTATATCTTCAGCACGAGCGAGACATTGGATGTTGAGGTGCCGGGGAAAGCGAAAGTGAAAACCGGTGCATGTGACCTGCTGAAAATAAATAAATACATTAATAATAGAATAATTCATTCCTGCAACTTGTTAATTTGTTCCTACGACTTATTAATGTGTGGCCACAGTTCATGTTTCATTCATTTCTTCCGTAGTTACTAAAATGAGGGAATTAATTAATAAGTCATATAGGAACAAATTCTTAATTCCACGAAATCTTTCATTGACCTAGGCTATATGTACCATGGTAATACTATGGTATTCTCTGAAGTTCCCTGGAGTGTTAATAATATTGTACATGAATGATGTATAAACCTGTAGTCAAATACAAAGACAATAAATTCTATTTTGCTTAAAGATAATGATGCCTGTTTTAGTAACCGCAAATATTTTCTTTAATTGCATTATGACATAAACCACATCTTTCAAATTATCACTACTGTGGGAAATCTCATTGATATATTAAAAATAACAAATAAATAAATAAATAAAATATGCTATAAGAATATACATACGTAGATACATATACATACATACTGTATATATATATATATATATAATTTGGGAGTGAACGATCCCAGCTTTTCAATCAAGCATCAAGCCAGTGTGTGATCTGGATTATATCATAGAGTCCTATTTGCTGTCTAAATGTATAAAAAACACAAAATTCAGCAATAACATATTTTGTAATCTTCCATACTGGAGACTGAAGTGTGGGTCTATCTCTCTGAAGGTTTGGTGCGAGTCTCCTGATGCTGAAAGGACTCCTCATGGAGACTTTGTGCGCTTTGGACATGCTCCCGACAGAGTGATGGACAAATGTAGTGTACAGGTGCAGTATAACTGCTCTGCTGCCTGTCGAATCGGGGTCGAAATTGTTATTTCAACCCCAACAACGACAGCCTACAGAAGGACCTGGACTAACCATAAGAGATTTGGAAAACCCAGATCCAGAACGGTTCCTCTGGTGTTTCCTCCAGCTGTGCTGTACCGTAGAGACTTTTTTGTCAGGCGGCCACTGGAGACATGTGATGTGGTGCTGAAGGCCTGGATGATTCATCTGGTGGAAGAGGAAATTGGTGGCAGCCATGCTAAAGGATATGACCAATCTCTTGTGAGAACTTCTACGTCTTTGAGGACACTACCACTCTCTGAACGCCCAGCATATCCACAGACAAGATCGGTCTCATGGAGCGCGTGGCTGATGTGGCAGCTGACCAAAGATACCGTGAGAAAGTGTCCACATGAGTCAGGTGCGTACCTAACTGACCAAAAGAAAATAGTTAACAAATAATGTAATGATTTACTCACTCTCATGTCATGTGCTGTTTTTTTTCCTCACATGGAACACAAAAAGTCATTACTCACTGAAAATCTAATTCGCATGCATGTTCAGATTGCAAAATGCCTCACACTAGGTTTATCATCACCAGTGCCAAATCACCATTGGTTCTCATGCATGTTGTAACCAAACATGATATACCAGTTTAAATAAATAAGATGGAGAACAAGATTTGAGCTACAGTGGAGGGAAAGATTTAAAAAAAAAAAAATTTGCTCCCCACATAAAGTTGAATATGGACTTTATTTATAGAGCTTGACAGACCACATGGTCACTATGGACTGTCATTGTGCTGTTTGTGTTTCACTGGAGAAAAAACAACAACAAAAAACAGACAAACAAACAAATGACATGATGTTGAGCATAAATGAGAGAACTAGTTTAGGTTGTTTGAAGATACTGTACTGTCTTGATTTACCAGGTGCAGCAATGGCAGATTATATTTCTAAACTCTTTTATTTGGTAATTTGTGCCTTTCCAGACATTGTGGATATCCTGACTTTTCCATTTGTGTAACGGGGCTGACGAGACGTGAGACGTGTGGATCCATCTGCAGGCTTTATTAAAGAGAACTGGTAAACAGGCAGGGTCAAACAATAGCAAACAGGTATATGGCGGGCAAAACACAAGAATAGTCCCAGGGCTAGCGTAGGTCACCGATCGGCAGACAGAATCACAGGGGCGAGACGAGAGGGAAAAATCCAGAAAAACAGGCAAAGATCAGAAACCGCGAAAACAGGCAAGGCAAGGCAAAAACAAGGAAAACTCAGAGACTCGGAATGGGGTACGGGCTAAACAATACTCAGCAGAGAAAGGTGGTTAGAGTGGGTGTAATATAGTGAGTGAGGTGATTAGAAACAGCTGTGTGCAATGAGTGCAATCAGTGCAGTGTGCAAATCGTGCAAAGAATGATGGGATATGCAGTCCGGGGTGCTATGCAACAGTTTGTGTTGTGCGAGAGTCAATGTAATGGAAAGGGTGACCTCTGGTGGTGAATAAACGGAAGTCCATGGACCGAATTCGTGACAATTTGCAAGTACCGGTGAGAGGTTTGGTATCATACATACGTTTTCCTCCTTCAGAAATAGAGATCTAGAAAGGAGACGCACCCTCGCTCTCAAACAGCCAAGGTCAGACTTGCTGTCAAGAAGCTTCATTCAAATTTCTCAATGCTACTTGATGACAATAACAATGCTGTTTGAAAAAAAAAAGTTTGTTAAATTAAGTTACAGATTCATTAAATACATATATAGCACATACAAAGGGTGAACTAGATGGTTGCTATGGTATTTCTGAAATGTTTTTCAACCATTTAAACAAGAAAAAAAAATGCCATATAGAAAAGTGCCTATCAACAGCCTGGCAATCTCGCAATGCCTTAGCGGCCACTCTGAACATATTGGCAACACCCTAGAAGCACCTTTGTAATCACTAAGAACACCTTTGCAACACTAGCAACTTCACAAAACACACTAGCAATGAGCAATGCCCTAGAAACCACCCTGAACACAACACCCTCACTTAAAATGCCTTAACAACACCCTAACAATGTCATAGAAACAACTCAGAAGACCTTAGCAACAAACTGGTAACACCCCTACAATCATTCAGAATATTTTAATTACAGCCTAGTAATTCCCTAGAATGCACTGAGAACACCAACTGCTTAACAACAATTAAGCAACCACAAGAACACATTGCAAAACTATAGCCACTATTCAGAACTTCTTAGTAACTCCCTAGCAATGCACCTAGGGACCACACAGAACACACTAGGCATCTCTCAGTATACCTTAGCAACAACACCCCTACAATCAGCATGAATATTTTAACAACAGCCCTAGAATATAATGAGAATCATAGCAACCCTCAATCATAACACCCTACTCATCACCCAGAATTCATTAGCAACACCCTTGCAATTGGGGAAGTCGTGGCCTAATGGTTAGAGAGTCGGACTCGTAACCCAAAGGTTGTGGGTTCGAGTCTCGTACCGGCAGGGATTGTAGGTGGGGGGAGTGAATGTACAGCGCTCTCTCCCACCTTCAATACCACGACTGAGGTGCCCTTGAGCAAGGCATCGAACCCCCAACTGCTCCCCGGGCGCCGCAGCAAAAAAATGGCTGCCCACTGCTCCGGGTGTGTGTTCACGGTGTGTGTGTGTTCACTGCTGTGTGTGTGCACTTTGGATGGGATAAAAGCAGAGCACTAATTCCGAGTATGGGTCACCATACTTGGCCACATGTCACGTCACTTTCACTTTCACTTTTCACTTTCAATGCTCTAGAAACCACTCTGAACACCCTAACAACACCCTAGTCATCACTCAAAATACCTTAGCAATACTCTAGCAATGTTATATAATCAACTTAGAACACCTTAGTAACAACCTGGCAACGCCCCTACAGTAGAGTCACCCAGAATATGCAGCCTAGCAACGCTCTAGAATGCACTGAGAACACCTTAGCAACACCCTAATCGTCACTCGGAATACATTAGCAACACCCTAGACGTCACTCAGAAAACCTAAGCAACACCCTAGTCGTCACTCGGAATACATGAGCAACACCCTAGACGTCACTCGGAATACCTAAGCAACACCCTAGACGTCACTCGGAATACATTAGCAACACCCTAGACGTCACTCAGAAAACCTAAGCAACACCCTAGTCGTCACTCGGAATACCTTAGCAATACCCTATTCGTCACTCGGAATACATTAGCAACACCTTAGACGTCACTCAGAAAACCTAAGCAACACCCTATTCGTCACTCGCAATACCTTAGCAACACCCTAGTTGTCACTGGAATACCTTAGCAACACTCTAGTCGTCACTCGCAATACCTTAGCAACACCCTAGTTGTCACTGGAATACCTTAGCAACACTCTAGTCGTCATTCGTAATACCTTAGCAACACCCTAGTCGTCACTCGGAATACCTTAGCAACACCTTAGACGTCACTCGGAATTCATGAGCAACACCCTAGTCGTCACTCGGAATACCTTAGCAACACCCTAGTCGTCACTCGGAATACCTTAGCAACACCCTAGTCGTCACTCGGAATACATGAGCAACACCCTAGACGTCACTCAGAAAACCTAAGCAACACCCTAGACATCACTCGGAATACATGAGCAACACCCTAGTCGTCACTCGGAATACCTAAGCAACACCCTAGACGTCACTCGGAATACATGAGCAACACTCTAGTCGTCACTCGGAATACATGAGCAACACCCTAGACGTCACTCGGAATACCTAAGCAACACCCTAGACGTCACTCGGAATACCTTAGCAACACCCTAGTTGTCACTCGGAATACCTTAGCAACACCCTAGTCGTCACTCGGAATACCTTAGCAACACCTTAGTTGTAACTCAGAATACCTTAGCAACACCCTAGTAGTCACTCAGAATACCTTAGCAACACCCTAGTAGTCACTCAGAGTACATTAGCAACACCCTATAATGCTATAGACAACTGTAATTAAAACATTGCTAGGCATTGTGGGCCCTATCAACCATGATGGTATAATGCCTAGCAACACCCTAGAAACCACTCAGAACACCTTAATAATACTGGGCTAGTTGTAGAACCTCTACATTATCTCTAACACTGCGGTTTTTTAATGGAAATCTCAAATTCCTGTTGTATTCTTTTAGATGCAATATGAGATAACATAACTAACATTACTGTGCTCACTATAAGCACTTCATATGTGCTTGCCGTCCTGATGATGTGATGTTGAATTTAAAGAGGGTGTTGGCCTGTCATGTTTGAAGCTCCCATCATCTGCTCTCTGCAGTGTGACTCTGTCAGTGTGGCTGTACTTGCTGAGCTGGTGCAACCAGTCTGTGTGTGGAATAATCAGGCAAGTCAATGAACACAGGAACTATGGAAGTCCTCTCATTATGCTGTCTGACACAGGTAAGCCAGTCAGGGCGCATTCCATCATATGACCTCACTTCAAGAAAAAGCTCTAGCATATATAAAGGAATAGTTCAGCCACGTCTAGAAAATTCTAAAATAATAATAAAAACCTCTGTTGTTCAAACCAGTATATTTTTGCTGTGGAACACAACATTTTTTTAGCAAAAAGAATGCTTATCTGATGTTTGTATCATGCAATGAAAGTACATGTTATGAGCTATATTTCAAGCCAGACAACAGCTTTGTATGAGAAACAGAATGAAATACAATTTGTTATTTACTGAAATATATATTTTCATATGCACGTGTCAATATGTCTTGGTCCTCAGGTGATATAGTGGTGCAGGTGCAATTGGTTGCTGGAGAGGAGCAGGCGTTTACAGCATACGCAGCTTTACCCCTCCATACCTGGATCCGTCTGGACATCTCCTTTCAGGTGTCAGAGGTACTTCAGCTATATTCATATGTAGTCATGTGCACTTTTCTTAGATAAGTGACACTCAATACATACTAGGGGTGTAACGGTACACAGAAATCACGGTTCAGTACGGACCTCGTTGGCATCCTGTTTGCAGACTTATAATATTTCCACACAAATTTTAGGAAATGAATGCAGTTTGAGTTCAATTCTGGAATAGAGATCAGCCAAAATGAAACTAAAAACCAAATTTTTCTGAATTATAGCCACTCGACCGGTGCATCTCTGGAACCCTGAAACTTTCCCACACTTCTGATTTAAAACAAGCAGGCGGTTCTTCGAGCTTTTATGTGTTATCTGAACTCGCCGTTCTTGTTTTGGGTTGTTACATAGATCGTCTCTTCTTCTGCTCTTTCCTGTTTTGGAGGTTAGCGTTACATTACTTCTAAATTGATTGCCTATGACTGAATGTATTCGTCGTCTGACTGCATGAACCAAACCGTGACGTCCATACCGTGACCGTTTGGGACAAATACATGTACCGTTACACCCCTAATACATACAGAGGCACAACTGATGAAACAACATTTATGTGTGAATGTAGAAGAAACTGATCTCTTGGTTGTTTTTCTCATGTCAGGCAAAACTCACAATTACAAAGATCTTACCCGCAGGAAAGACTTTGGAGATCACTCATCTTTTTGAGTAAGTCCCAACATCACATCTACACAAAAAAATAAAAACAAAATAAAATAAAATAAAAATACTGGGTTCGATTCCCACAGAGAGTCTTTGTCCTGTTTCCAGTAAAATAATAATATTCATATAATATAATATTCATTTAACCAATAAATAAATTTAATAAAATATTAAGATATTGTTTTCAGAGAATAAAATATAATTCTAATTAATGTAAGTATATTGTCTTGTTCCAATGACAAATTTTTTAGGCAAGGTTTTAGGCAAACGTCCAACTAAATTTATTTATGTATTTATTTATGTATTTATTTAGTGTTTTTTTAAACTTTCTACAACCATTTTTTTTATGGTGTAGTTCATGTTAAGTGAAACCTCTTTCTTTCTTTCTTTCTTTCTTTCTTTCGTTCTTTCTTTCTTTCTTTCTTTCTTTCTTTCTTTCTTTCTTTCTTTCTTTCTTTCTTTCTTTCTTTCTTTCTTTCTTTCTTTCTTTCTTTCTTTCTTTCTTTCTTTCTTTCTTTCTTTCAGTTTTCGTCAGCCAGTTCAATTCAATGACACATCAGGATATTTTGTGATTGGTGGATGCAGCTACATGCAGGGGATTCATGGCTATATTGGACCAATCAAATACTATCGTTTAGGCTCAGAATATGTGAGTCCTCTCTTATCAATAGATAAATGCATCTAAAAAAAAATATTGTGCGAATAATAATCACATGAAGCAGCATACATTCAGACATTCTTATGTAATAATATCTTATATAATTTCTATTCAAGGTGACAAACCCCCTGTCCCCTGTTAGGACGCTAAAGGAGCTGGACAGACTCCACAGACACTGTGAGGAAATGAGACGGGTTACTGAAGACTATCTGCAAGCATTGAGACAAAACCGAGACATCTCTAGAGATCAGTTAATATGAACTTGACCATAATAGATCAAATACCAAATGATTTGGTATAATCACCTCCCATAACATTACAAAGTTTGTTTTTGCGATTCATTTTCACGCACTGAGGAGCAAGTACTTTATTATGTAGAAAAAAGAGCTTTCTTATGAAGCTCTTATTAAAGAGTTTGTTATTAATGGCAACAAACTTGGTATGCTGGAGTAGCAGCTTAAACGACATTTGAGAGTGTTGGCTCTTCAAAATGTACAAACAATGTAAACAATGACAACTTTTTAATTTTGGGTGAACAGTTCCTAAAGACTTTGTGTTTTTGGTCATCAGATGTTTGTGAGTGTTTTTATGGAGACATTAAGAGGAAGTTTGATCGTAGGAAATGCACACAAACTTGGTCGTGGGACCAGCAAAGAAGATTCAACCTCACCCTGAGGCTTCTAGAAGAACACCAGGAGCTCATAACAGGTAGCAGTGGTTTAATGTGGTCCTTTATAATGTGAGCTATGATGATTTTGGTGGAAAAGTTCCTCTGTTCCTCAGGTCTGGGCAACAGCAGCAGACATTTGCTACGTCTAGGCCGAGTGATTTACCAGGATGCGGTAAAGACAATAGCTAAAGCAGAGGAATCTGCCGGCAGTCTGGATCTCCTGTCCACTATTATTCAGCAGCTTCAGGTGTCCTCCTGCTGGGGCCACCAGCACTCCTCTCTTCTGCTCGCTACCCTGCACCTGGCCGGCCTGGGTGTCCCGGTGGACCTGGAGCAGGTGGAAACCAGAACACCTGAGCATTCAACAGCCATTATAAAAGAGCCACGCAGTGGAAGCATAATTCATTTTGAAGTCCACCTGAAATCAAAATGGACCATATTTACATTCTTAAATTCTGTCATCATTTACTCTCCCTCATGTCATTCCAAATCCGTAAGACTTTCGTTCATCTTCAGAACACAAATGAAGTTATTTTTAATGAAATCTGAGAGATTTCTGTCCCTCCATTGACAGTCAATGTAACTACCACTTTGACGCTTCAAAATGTTCATAAAGAGATTTTAAAATGAATCCATATGAACAGAACTTTTTAGTCCAAATTTTCTGAAGAGACTCGATCACTTTATATGATGAACAAATTGAATTTATGCTTTCATTCACATATAAACATTAAAGGGGTCATATGATGCGATTTAAATTATTCCTTTCTCTTTGGAGTGTTACAAGCTCTTGGTGCATAAAGAAGATCTGTAAATTTGCAAAGGCTAAAGTCTCAAATTCAAAGAGATATTCTTTATAAAAGTTAAGAGTCATCCACGCCTACCTAAAACGGCTCGTTCTAACACGCCCCACATATTTACGTCACTATGCATAACGCCACCCAAATGTTCACGCAAAGAAAGAAGGCGTAACTTTTATTCTCACTGTAGTATTGTTGTTGCCGCCGCCGCCATGTCGTGAAGGCGCTGTGTGATTCGTTGTGAAAGCGAAACTACTTTGTTTGGTCTTCCGAAAGAGGACACGACTAGAAATCAGTGGTTAAGTTGTATTTACAACACTGTTCCAGAACAGTTCAAACCAAATATTCAGATGTGTGCAGCACATTTTATGGAGGACTGTTTCCTGATCCTGGGAGAGTAGACTACAATGCCGGCTGTTCTGACTCACAGACTGTAAGTACATTTTTTATATATAAAGAATTTGCCACTGACGATTCAAATGCGAGTTTTGAGCAGTGTAGAGTAGCGCTTGTTGTTTGTCATGGTTTTATGTTTACGTGGCGCGATGAAACGCGTAAAAAGTCAGTATAAGTCATTATTATCCGTAATTATGTTCCCACTGGATGCAACAAATGCCTCGTTTATAATGGGTTTTAATGTTTTTGTCTCGTCGCTCCGACCGGACAGGGCATCATCACAGTATGGTGAGGGGCGTAACATTTCCGTCACACGCTTGAGGTATTCGGCCAATCACAACGCACTGGATAGCTGGCCAATCAGAGCATCAACGATGAGCTTTGTAAAAATCGACGCGTTTCAGAAAGGGGGGGAATAGAGGAGCAACAATAATGTACAGTATGTGGAAAAGAATGTGTTTTTTTAACCAAACGCACACATAAGTTATGGCAAACAGAAGATCAAGCATGTTTGCTTGATGAACCAGTGAGGTTTATTCTCGTGCGCTACCAAGTGTGTCTGTCGCACACGTCCTGAAAAGTGAAGCCAAAACATTTCGACCGCCATCTGGTGGCTGGCTGCAGTATAGGTCATAACCTCACCCTCTCTATGTAAACAAATGGGGGGTAAGCCAAACTGAAAAATCTAATTACACTTACCCAAAGATGGTTTCCATCATTTTAGGTAGTTCTTATCACACTGACGTACGTTCAAGTGTTCGTTTTTCTAATAAGTTTGTTTTTTCTGCGCAGTCTCTGGATCCAAATGAATTATTACTGTGCAGACACAGGCTCCAAATGACGTCATTGGCGCAAGATGACAGTGGCCATACTGGGATGTTTTGGTTTCACTTCTCAATAGTGGACGGAAGTGGAGACGCTTTTTACAGTCTATGTGTGTTACACAGCACAAGAACCAATGAGGATTGTTTTATGTGGAAGGCAGACAAGGCCAAAACTCTTTACATGGAACGTGTGAAATGTCACCGTATCAACATGCACTGTTTATCCGCTTTAATACTGGTTTCTTTTGTATGTGTAGACATGCACATTCTGGCCTTGTTAAGGCATCAGTTTGTGCCTTAGTACGTGTAAAGAGGCACAGTTTTACCATATTAAGACAACAAATTTGAATGTATCTTTTAACGCACACATTCTGGTGGTGTTTGAACATGTGATACTTTATAAAGCAGACCTACCTCGAGATTTACCCACATATTAATTCTTTCTTTAGATTATTGCAGCATTGCTTTACTGATATCTACTGTGCTTGAGTAAATTAATTGATGTTATAATGTAAATGAAGACTTTACTACCTGAGAAAGAATGCTGAACTAAACAACTAAAAATTAAATGAAAAACCAGGTCATAAGACTGTCAACACACACACCGTACCAATACATTATCCCTCATAAACAAATATAACGTCTGATGTTTGCATGCGTACCATTACCACATTCTTCATTAATAAACATGATGTCTGATGTTTGTGTGTGTATATACCACCATACCATCGCATCACATATGCAAATATAGTCTCAGATACAGCAACTTCATTGTCTGCTGTGTGTGTTGTGGCATTAATGCAGACAAACAGTGCGTGTTGACCATCAAATTTCACTGTTTAAAGAGTTTTGACCCCATCCACCTTTCATAGTTTTTGTGTGTCAAGTAAGTTTTGTTGAGCTTCTGTTTGTTCGCTGATCAATGTTTATGTATTTAATTTTAAAAGACTACTTGTGAACAAACTTGTGAACAAAGTGGTAGTAGCATTGACTGTCAATTGAGTGACAGAAATCTCTCAGATTTCATAAAATCAATCTTCATTTGTGTTCTGAAGATGAATGAAAGTCTTACAGGTTTGGAACAACATGAAGGTGAGTAAATGATGACAAATGTTTAATTTCTGGGTGAACTATCTCTTTAATATATTCTTGATTTTATTGCGAATGATACATCAGTGCACAATTTTCCAAACAGAAAATGTTTACCTCCATAATCTTTCATCTGAATTGCTTAACTAACTAATAATCGCCTCTAAAAACATCTTTCTCTTTGGATGACGTCACCTAGTCTTATCGATAGGCTAGCAGATTAATGGTAACCGTTAGCCAAATAGCTATTTAAGCATTGTTTTATGCTAGTGTTGTAGCCTTTCTTTTGTTTTATGTTGACTTGAGTAGTAATTTGATAAAAAGCTACAAAACCAGAGTCACTGCAATAGAAGCGAGGACAAGAGCTACAGGAGAAACACAGACACAGGGGCGCCAGATACACATGTTGATTGATACAGCAATAACAGCGTCAAAGTTTGACCTTGAACTGTTGATAACATCTTTTTCTCAGGGTCATGTCTATAGTTTGATAGGCGGTGTCTCTGATGACCGTCTCGCTCTGATGCATTTGGGATACAAGCACATGCAGGGTCTGGACGGTTTCCCCAAAGACCAGAACACAGCTTACGGGTACTACGCCAACATCGGCAAACAGACCAGCATCGACCGCGATAAAGTGCAAGACTCTTCGATGAGTTACATATGTATGTACAGAGATTAGCAATGCATGCAAATGTAAATGTTAATATAAATGATTTTATAGGTATAATACATCAGTTATATTTAAACCAGCTCTTGTTGTTATTATTGTGGCAGACAAAAAAAAAAAAAACATTACAAAAACTGTTTTATTACATGGCAAGCTTAATTGATGCTGCCATATGGTAAAACCTCAAGAAAATTTTTAGTAGTTACAACATTTGACAATGAAATAAAAAAATCTGTTGAAAAATGTTTTTCAAAACATTGTTTTTCAAACAAACTTAAACACAAAGGTTGCATTTCTACCAGAAAGACCATATCAATTTAGAATGTTATTTAGTGAAAAATACTAAATTTTTCATAATTCCATTAATTCAGTTTAACAAACATGCTTGTCTAAATTAGGCACTAAATGAAATTTGGTTTTAGTCATGAAAATGCAGTTAATTTGAATACAGAACCTAAAGGATTTCAATTTGCAAATGCTCATTTGCATAATAAAATAGTGGCTCAGTATCTTGTTTATCAGCAAGCACAGTCAAATATTTAGAAAAATTACACTCCTGAAGTGTGTTACGTTGGTTGTTATTGAAATATTGGAACTGTCTGATTGTTTTGATGTGAAGTAATCTTGTCTAAATGTGTCTCTTCTCTGCAGCAAACTCTCACAGAACATGTTCATTTAAACAATGACAACGAACTCCACACTCAAGCGGGCGAGCTGGGCGACATTGTGCAGTATTTGAAACACCAGGCTGACAGAGGAGATGTAGAATCTCAGGTGTTCACTTTTTATCCTCACTTTCTCACGATGTCTCTTTGTCTTTGGGTATCTCTCAAGTTAAACTTGAAATTTTGACTTCAATTCTTCTGGTTTAGGAAATGTAGTGAGGGTTTGTTGAAGTGGATGAAGATCTGGGGCCAGATTCACAAAAAGAATTAAAGTCTTCTAAACTGTTGCCTTCTTATTTTCTAATTTCTAAAAATGTTAAGAATATAGTGTATTTACAAAAATACTTAAGCATTAAGAATTCAAATGTTTGAAAAGAATGTTCTGAAAAGTCATTGCAAATAATTTCTTAAAGATTGGATGAACTCCAATTTGTTTAAAATTCTCATAAAGCCTGTAATTTTATTCTTGAGAAAAAACACATAGGGCCTATATTAAAGAAAATATTTGAGAACTTTCAAGAAGTGCATGTAGGAGCTTTCTTAAGAATGTCATAGAAATGATTTGAATAACTTTCTTTTTTTCCTTTTTTTTAATAAAAACTAGAACTGGGGCCCAGGGTCTACGACAAATATTTAAATTTCTTTGGAAACTTTATTTTCAGTTTATTTTCAGTTTAAGATGAATGAATGAATGAATGAATAGATATACTTTCGTGACTTTGTGACCCCACTTTGTGTTTGTGCAATAATTCTAAACAAAACTACAAAGGTTATGTAAAAATATGACAGGATGAATAGCTACTCTTTATACTAATAATTTCTCATTAAAAGCCAAATCATGTTCAAAACCGAAGATGATAACGACAACCTGGGTTTTATGGAATATGGTAACACAATGTCCCCATAATGTTACAGATAATTGTCAGCAAAGGTACCTTTTGTTTCTTAATTTGAGATTCTCAGCTGTTGTAACTCGGTTGTGGGCTGGTGATTCTTGTAGAAAACTCTGGCCAGGATGCATTTTTGGGGCAGTAACGGGGTGGAGAAAGACATTCCCGCAGCAGTCATGTGGTACACCAGAAGCGCCCTGCAGATGGTCGATCCCACCGCCATGTACGACTACGCCATTCTCCTTCTGAAGGTGATCCACGGGTTATATGGAAATCTCTTGAGCTGTATCTTTTAGCTTTTGCATTGTAAAAAGGGCACACATGCTTGTTTTGTATAAGTAGAAACTCCTGACACAAGATTAGGAAAATAAATGTAAAATGGTGTATCTATAGATACTTTCAAGACTGCCCGTCATGTGGAAACAACTGCTTGCTTTTGTACTTGAACAGGGCACAGGAGTGAAGAAGAACCGAACGCTTGGCCTTGAGCTTCTGGAGAAAGCTGCCGACATGGTGAGCGTACGAGTATCAGCGAGTGTGTGTGTGGTTGTGTGTGGAAGTGTTGTGATTTCTATAATGGGCCATGTGTGTTTTTCTCAGGGTTCTGTAGAAGCTCTGAATGGCCTCGGATGGTACTACAGTAGCATAGTAAAGGATGGAAGAAAGGCCTTTCGATACTTTGAGTTGGCGGCTCAGAACGGCAGTTCTGATGGGCTCTTCAATGTGGGCGTCTACCAGTTAAATGGTGACAATCCTGACAAACCAGACAGGAATGAGGTCAGAGGTCGCACATTTAAAGGAATAGTTCACCCAAAAATGAAAATTCGCTGTTAATATATTCACCCTCAGGCCATCCAATATGTAGGTGACTTTTTTCAACAGTAGAAGAGAAAAGAAGATTTTTTAGCTGAAACCTGGTGATTCATATAATGCAAGCCAGCAGCTGCCCACTTTTGATAATTAAAAAAAGCATACCAAGGAACACAAAATTAATGCCTGTGGCTACTGACGATATATTGAGGTCTTATGAAGCGAAACGATCGGTCTGTGCAAGAAACTGAACATTATTACCTGTAATCCAGAGCCTCAGGCAACAGGGAAATACGAGTCTTTTCCATGAACTGGTTCTTCGGTCCGAGTCGGAACTATTTTCTCAGTTCAGTGACTGTTGGGATAACTGGATCGCTGAGTTTGGGAAAAACCAGCATCAAAGGATCATATACGCCTGTATTTTGGCTCATGTCTGAAAGTGAGTTTTGATTGAGTAACTTGTAGATATGTGCTGTTTGAGCCAAGAAGACACTTCAGTTCGATTTGGTTCGTTTTGGTAACTAGTTCGCTAAAAAGAACCGCTTCAAAAGAATGATTCATTAACAAACCGAACATCACTCCGGACCGTTTGCCTGAGGCTCTGGATTACAGGTAATAATGCTGTTAATAATGTTCAGTTTCTTGCACAAACTGATCGTTTCGCTTCATAAGACCTCAATATATCATCAGGAGCCACAGGTGTTAATTTTGTGTTCCTTGATATGCTTTTTTTAATTATCAAAAATGGGCAGCTGCTGACATGATTTTATGAATCATCAAAGACCAGAAATGTAGCTAAAAATCTTCTTTACTGAAAAAAGTCACCTACATCTTGGATGGACTGAGGGTGAGTAAACTAACAGCAAATTAAAATTTGTGGGTGAACTATGCCTTTAACCTTCAATGGATAGTTACAGTTTAACATTTTATGGCTTGAGTGTATTGATCACAATGCTTTTTCAGACTGCTGCATTCCACTACTTCTTGCATGCAGCTCAGCGGGGTCATGTGGACGGCGCTGTGCAGTCGGCATTGTTTCTCTCCACTGGAGCCGTACAAGGAGTGCCAAGAGATCAAGACAAAGCTGTGCTGTATGTCAGTCTCATATATCCTTCTACCTGAACTCTTCTTTAAACAATCCTTCAATGACTTCAATAAGTACAACTGCCACCACACATGGACTGATCATTTATTGGAAAAGCAGTGACAAGTTTGACAGATTTGACAAAACATCTAAATGCAAATGTCAGGGTCATCTGATGGATAGATCAGTATTTAATATGTTTTTCTCTTTTGTTGGGTTTCTCCGTTTCTTCAGGCTGTTGAAGCGAGTCAGTGAGATGAATGGGCACCTGGGCTTCATGGTTAAAGACGCTCTTCAAACTTATCAAAGAGGATCATGGTGAGATATCCATCTATCCCTTCATACTGTACATCTATCAATCGATACATCCATCCATCCATTTCTTTATTCATCCATCCATCCATCCATCCCTTCTTCCATCCATCCATCCACCCATCCATCTGTCCCTTCATTCATCCATACATTCCTTTATTCATCCATCCATCCCTTCACCTCTCCATCCATCCCAAAATCCATCCACGCCTTCTTCCATTCATCTGTCCATCCCTTCATACATCCATTCATCCAACATTCATCCATCCATCCATCCACCCGTCCGTCCGCCCATCCATCCATCCATCCACCCATCTATCCATGCATTCACCTGTCCTTTCATCCATCCATCCATCCAACCGTCCGTCCGTCCATCCATCCATCCATCCATGCATTCACCTGTCCTTTCATCCATCCATCTATCCAGCCGTCCGTCCGTACATCCATCCATCCATCCACCCATCCGTCTGTCCGTCCATCTATCCATCCATCCACCCATCCATCCATCCAACCGTCCGTCCGTCCATCCATCCATCCATCCATCCATCCATGCATTCACTTGTCCATCCATCCAACCGTCCGTCCGTCCATCCATCCATCCATCCATGTATTCATCTGTCCATCCATCCATCCATCCATGCATTTACCTGTCCTTTCATCCAACCGTCCGTCCGTCCATCCGTCCATCCATCCATCCATCCATGCATTCACCTGTCCTTTCATCCATCCATCTATCCAGCCGTCCGTCCGTACATCCATCCATCCATCCATCCATCCATCCATCCATCCATCCATCCATCCATCCATCCATCCATCCATCCATCCATCCATCCATCCATCCATCCATCCATCCATCCATCCATCCATCCATCCATCCATCCATCCATCCATCCATCCATCCATCCATCCATCCATCCATCCATCCATCCATCCATCCATCCATCCATCCATCCATCCATCCATCCATCCATCCATCCATCCATCCATCCATCCATCCATCCATCCATCCATCCATCCATCCATCCATCCATCCATCCATCCATCCATCCATCCATCCATCCATCCATCCATCCATCCATCCATCCATCCATCCATCCATCCATCCATCCATCCATCCATCCATCCATCCATCCATCCATCCATCCATCCATCCATCCATCCATCCATCCATCCATCCATCCATCCATCCATCCATCCATCCATCCATCCATCCATCCATCCATCCATCCATCCATCCATCCATCCATCCATCCATCCATCCATCCATCCATCCATCCATCCATCCATCCATCCATCCATCCATCCATCCATCCATCCATCCATCCATCCATCCATCCATCCATCCATCCATCCATCCATCCATCCATCCATCCATGCATTCACCTGTCCTTTCATCCATCCATCTATCCAGCCGTCCGTCCGTACATCCATCCATCCATCCACCCATCCGTCTGTCCGTCCGTCCATCCATCCATCCACCCATCCATCCGTCCGTCCGTCCGTCCGTCCGTCCATCCATCCATCCATCCACCCCTTCCTCCATCCATTCATTCATGTATCCACAGTGTTGGATAGTTGATAATTGATTACATAACCAGATTCCAGAAAATAAATACTTGTAATTAGATTATATTACATTTTAAAAATAATCATAATCAGACTACAGTTACATTTTTATTATTTACATGACTATTTAATATTCACAAAACAGCAGAAAATTATTCATAATTCATTGATTCGCTCTAATTCTTCTTTTGTATCTTTTGTCTTTTCCTATTTGATTATATATATATGTTCATCTTCCGGTTTTGTAGAAATGCACACACAGATTGACCACTAGTCAGACGGTTATAATTATTTATATTATTTATTTCTTTTCATTTAACATTTTTAAGATTTAATTAATTATTAGCTTTTCGTTCATTTACAAACCCCCTGCAATTCTTTGCAAACCGCTGGAAACCCCGATGTAATGTAATGTTTAATGTGCTTCATGACAAAAAATTGAATATATTTTTTTCTCTTTAAATTTTTAGATCAATATGGTAGAAGAATATACTATTTAGATCAATGTGATAAATGAATTAGGTCAAAAGTAATCTAAAGGTAATCAAATAGTAGTCAGAATATGCCGTATTACCTAAAATGTGTTAATGTAATGGATTACATTACTAACTACAATTTTCATTTTGTAATTTGTATTCAGTAAGTAATCTACTCAGCACTGTCCATCAATCCATCCATCCCTATATGCATCCATCCATTTATCCATTTCCTGGATAAAACCCTTGAGATGTGCTGTCTTGTTTTCGAGGGGGTCATATGACTTGACAAAACTTCCGAAAACACACAAGTCAAATGGGCTCTTTTAGAGAGGATGCTCACTGCAGAGCCAATATGTGGAGCTAGACACTTCAAACCACACCTCACCCATAACCCTATCGTTAAACATAACTCCACCCATTAGGCTCTCAGAGGTGGAGCTGGATACTTCTTTTTTGCCCATAAATATTTTAAAGGAATTAAGAAGCAGCACATTATTGAAAATAACTTTTTTTTGTGTTACACAGAAGAAAAAGTAATATTTCTGAATGGTTGTGTGACTTTTTTTTGTCTGTTCAAGGCATGAAGCGTTGGTGAAATATGCCATGCTAGCAGAAACTGGTCTCGGTGTGGCACTGCACAATGCTGCCCATCTGTGCGAGGTGAACAGTGTCTCAAAATCTGCCAGTCCTCAAGCCTATCATTTCCTAACTGTTGTTTTTTTACCCCATTGTTTCATGTGTGTTTCTAGGTGTTAGGTCACAGTTCTGCCTGCCAGTGGAGGTACCACAACTACTCCACCTACAATCACATCCCTCAGGAAGTTGGTGAGCCGCTGCAGAGCAGTGACACTAACATACAGCTACTTCTCTTTTATGGCTTTGCCTCAATTAATTCACATTTTATTTTATATTTTTATTTATTTCTTTATTTTTACCCTGATCTGTGATGAACAAATGTAATTTCTATCACATCTCAAATCACGTTTCATTCTGAAGTGGAAGTGACGGTTGTGGAATAAAATGTCATTTCGTATCTAGCATTTTGTGCATCCAAAATATACACAGTTCAAAATATTTACAAATTACAGCCTGATTTGAAATGATGCACAATAAAAATATTTTGTACCCCAGTGATATTTACATGTTACATCCATAATAATTATCTTGGTCCACCTCCCTCTCTCTCTTTCTGCCTTTATATACTCCTGTTTCTGTGCCTTCTGCAGGTTTGTTGCGGATGGGGGATTATTACAGTGAACTAGCTGATGTGGTGAAGGCCATGTACATGTACAGTACAGCAGCAGTGCATGGTAGTGCCCAGGTACACACACACACACACACACACACACACACATGCACGAGTCTGTCCAAAGCAGACTCTAGATTTTGGAATCCTACAGAAATCTAAATGCATCAACATCAAATCAAATGTCTTCTTTAGAATATATATTTTTAAATTCAATGTATGCATGTGCTGATCATTGTTTGTGTGAATCGTCAGGGCCTCTTTAATCTGGCCATGTTAATTGAAGATGGTTATGACGTTCCTGACATCATTCTGGATCAGATGGGACTCTCAGCAGCACACAGTGTGAGCCGGAGCGCTGTGGTGGCAAATCTATTATCCAGGTTTGTGTGCTTTATGCTGTCTGACATTTGCTTGTTAGTTTCTCATGTGTTTATTGAAGAAAGCTCTTGAGCTCTGCGATTGCTTTGAATTATGCAAAACATGGTGCAAAACAAATGTATGTGTATGTTGTGCATTGCTTCGTGAAATATTGTCAAAACCTTCGGGATGCTTGTATACTTGTTGGCCTGAAAATATAATATATTATTCAGTGGTGGTTGATCCCCCCCCTCCCCCTCATTATTCATGTAGCATTGATATTTGTTACAGTATGGTATGTCTGTACATAGTTATTCAGATATAGCTATAGTAGCTTAACCTAAAGTATATAGGCCAAATTTATGAAAGTGTCCTTATAGTAAAATCTCTAAAACTAGTAAAAATTTGAAGAACCTTGATTACAAACAAAATTAAAAGACATTCACATCACATTTGTCTTCTGTGTGTGACAATAGACACCATTATAATACAAAAGCTTTCTGTTTGAAATAAACGCTGTTCCTTTGAAATGTCAAATCATCAAAGAATCCTGAAAAAAAAGTATCACGGTTGCACAAAAATATGTTTTTTATGCAACAAAAATATGAAGCAGCACAACTGTTCTCAACACTGATAATAATCAGAAATGTTTCTTAAGCAGCAAATCAGCATATTAGAATGATTTCTGAAGGATCATGTGACACTGAAGACTGGAGTAATGATGCTGAAAATTCAGCTTTGATCACAAGAATAAATTACATTTTAACATATAGTGAAATACAAAATTATTTATTTATTTAATTATTAGTTATTTAAAATTGCAATAATATTTCACAATATTTCTGTGTTTTTACTATATTTTATCAAATAAATGCAGCTATAATCTAATAGTATAGTAAACACACAATATTTCTGTGTTTTTACTATATTTTATCAAATAAATGCAGCCTTAAACATTTAAAAAAAATCTTACGAACCCAAACTTTTGACAGGTAATATTTGTCACACATTTGTGGAACTTGAAAGTATTTAGTATGGTTTTGGAATATGGATACTAGGCTATCATATTATTGGTTAATTAACCTTAACTGTCACCGTCCCACCTGTGGGACGCTTGGCGCTCTTTTTTGTTGTTGTCTTTTTTCTCTATCAAATCTTTTAGTAATCATCATAAATCATATATCATTTGAAAGCTTAGAAGCCCAAGATTCATCCTGTGAAAACCATTTCGAAATCAGACATTGTGTTACCATGGAAATGGTACTTTAAAATCTTTTGGCGGTCTCCTCCCCCTCAGTGGGCAGTGTCAAGTGTCATATTACAAAATTAATTACGGTCTTTTAGAATCAAAACTTTGTATAATCTTGACAAAAAACATATCATTGGAAAGGTCTGAGTCTCAGGATTCCATATTTGGTGGTTAGAAGTAACATTGACAGAGAAATCTAGACATTTGTGACAGAAAAATGCATTAAAAAAAATTTCATGGAGTTTGGATGGCACCCGGTGGCTGTTTGTGGTATAACGCCCTAAATAAAATCTCACAGAAACCTCAATGTTTTTCATATCAACTTCAAATTTGGAACATAACTTATTTAGACATAAGGCTTTCATTTTATACCAATATTAGAGTAAAACCTGATATGTAAAATAGTTTTTATATATAAAATAAAATTAATAAAGTGCATTTTCTTTACAGTAAATTTAAACTACTATAACTTTTTGATACTTATATTTTTTAATCTGCTGATTTTCTTCTTTAAAAAGAGACCAAACTTATGTCTGATATTATGTTTTATAAAATATGTTATTAATATGATCTTTTCTGCTGGAAAGAAAAATAGTTTTAGTGACACAGAAAGTTTAATTTTATGTAAACAGTTTTTCCTTGGAATAAAATGCGGCAGTAAATCATTCACAAAAAGACTAGTAATGTGCACTAAAAAAGTAAACAGGGCCCATTCTCAATTCATGTTGACTTTAAGAACAATGCAAGTCAATGGAAGTCAAGTACAAGCGAACACACCTGCTTGTGTGTGCACAGGTGCATGAATCTGCTCTCTCTTCCTCCTGCAGGTGCAGGGTGTTTGAGGAGGGGGACGTGACTCCATGCTCATTAGTCCTGTGGAGGATGGAGTTGATGCGAGCGTGGAGAGACTTCACACACAGCTCTGTTCAGCTGCCGCTGGCCGGTGGGATTTTCGCCTCACTCGCGGTTTTTGTATTTGCTGTGCTGTTACGAACTCTTCTGGGTAAAACATCCACCACTAAAAAAAAAATAATAATAATTTCCACCCTCACTCCAAAAATGATCAAAGTGGTCCATATGACTATATACATGTTAAAATATCGAGTCAGCTGAAAAATGATTAATCAGTCAATTGATTTAGAAACCTATTAACTAAGTCATTTTAGTTTCTTACACTTTCATTTGTTTTACCATCAGCATGTTACTCTGCACTGTACCTGTCAGCCAGCCAATCATCAGAGAGACACGGTGAACTTGGCGGGCAAGAAATCAGCGACAGTCCAATGGAAACCAGAACAGAGAATCAACAGCCTACAGTTTCACACTATCCTCTTTCAATGCAGGAAACATCTGATTTAGTCATGACAGTGACTGGAGTGCGTGTGTGTCTCATCTTTATGATGTTCATTTCCCATCTGCTTTGAAAAGAACATAAGACTGTGCTTCAAGAAGTTACACATCAACGGTCACTATCAATCGACTCTCTTCAACTCAGGTTACTGCAACTGAACCAGTATAAATTGCTTTGGATAAAAGCATGAACAAAATGGCTAGTCAGTTTTGCAGTAACCTGTGTTGTTCATCTACTTTCTTTAGGTGAAATAATGTTTGAACACTTGAATGTTTGCAGTGCAAATAAATGCCACATGACACGTGACGGTTCTCTTCCTGATGTCTTCTTTCATCTGAATAGCTACAGTCTGTTTCATACTGCACATGACAGCAGCATGTGTGTTTTTACAGTTCACACTGCAGGCCAGCAGAGATGTGGAGCAGAAAACACATCGAAATGGCTCAATATGCATATAACAGTCTTTTACAATATAGGGTTCTGAGAAGCAACATGACAGAATCCTATTTTTATTAACTCAGATGAATTAGTATTTGGATATAAATGTGTCTGTCCTCCTTTCATAAGATTTCACACCTATTAAGTTTAACTCTGGTTTAAGGGCTTCTCTGACTCTCTTTACGTGTGAAAGTAGGCAAGTCTGTTATGAAGCACGAGAGGGCGCCACAGCTCAGGATTAGCTATCTGAGCGCGAGTCATATTTGGTTTTTTTTTGAGATTATGCACCTATTCTCATCTTGACTTCTTTCTTTTTCTGCACAAGAGATTATTTTGGGATACTTCTGCATCCTTGAAAGGTGGGTCACGATTCACTGCCATTAAATGAACCTATATTTCTCCTTTTGTGTTCCAAAAAACAAAGCCAATCAGATTTGTGGACCAGAAAGAACTGTTGTATAAATATATATAATTGATTATTTATGATGCCAATAATGAATGAGGCCTATAAATGGGTTCAAACAAGAGTGCACCTTATTAATTATTGCCATTATAAATTTAAAATGAGGCTGTGAGGGATAGATTTACAGTCTTTATAATGGTACTGAAAATAAGAATCATAATTTTAGAAACTCACAGCTTTCAAAAAATGTTTTTGCATAGCCTTCCATGCATTTATTTGAAAGACGTTTTGTCTGCTGAACAATTGGCATGCTGTTAAACAACAGTACAACCCACTGAATGCACTGTACACAGCCTCATTTTCACTCCTGTCAAAAACAAAATATAGTGCTACCCCGACTAAGGTCTATATCTTAATAAATTAATTAACAGCATGTTGCAGTTGCTGACAGTGTTTGGCAACTTGTGGGAAGACGAATTTTAAGAGAATTTATGATGCTTATTTTATAGTATGGTTGTATTAGGCATGTCAAGTATGACATGTTATTTGTCCTTTTGACATTATTGTGATTTTTTTTTTCTTTTAATGTGGGGTGACATGTCAAAACATGTATAGCCTACCTATCTGATATATAACTCAAGAATTATATCAGTTATTTACTTAAAGGGGTCATATGATGCGATTTAAATTTTTCCTTTCTCTTTGGAGTGTTACAAGCTCTTGGTGCACTCCCCTCACTTTTTGGGTGATCAATCATCTTTTGAATCATCCCTACACTCCTGTTTGTTTCCCATTTCCATGCCCACTTCTCACAATAGGAGGCCCTGTGAGTAGGCAAATGGATTGGATTTCACTTTTTTAACGTGTAATCTATTAGCTGCTGTAGACTATTCCCTGTCAAAGGTGCTGATAGTGTAATTAGCATATCATACCACGGAACAAAAGAGACAGAACAAAAGTTCTGTCTTGACATCAAAATCATCAGAGAAATGTTCCACAGCGCCATACAGGATTGATTTCTCAACTGAACTGATTATTTCACAGTTAGATATTTGTCATTAACAAATTTTAAAAATCTTGATGGATAACTCAAAATTTCCATCCAGCCAGGATCACTGACTCATGCAATGCGATGTCTTGGACCTCCCCCACCACATACAAGGACAGAGATCCCCATCCCCCAGTGCTCCTCTGAAACATCACAAGGGTTGTTTGTCTCATGGACCAACTGGAGTTCAATATATAATGAAGGCCCCCGTCTTGGAGTCCCAACCATGGCTCTGGAAGATCACAGGGGCTGCTGAACTTCCATTGTTGTTGCATGATCATGCATGGATCAAAAGGAGGTGCCCCCTTCAGGAAGCAATGCAAAACTAGAGAACTCTCTCTTTTCATCAAGTAAAGGCCCAGGTATACTTAATTTTTCACATTCCACATAAGTCTTTCAAAGTATATTCTACTGACCGTGAGCACGGATGGAAGCATCCAGTGTGTGCACACTACACACTACTTTCTTTTCAAGTGCTTAGACACTGTACAGACATGAGCGAACTGTGCTGCTGATGAAAATAACATCACACTGACTAAAAAGGGAAGTATACTGGCCCTGTCCCAAGTGGCATCCTAAAGACTATGACACACCAAGCCAACAGTCGGCCATCAGCCAACGTCAGGCCATCACTGAGTGTCTGTCAGCTCAGTTTTAGTTGTGTGTACCGCAGCATCGGACTAGTCAGATCCCGTCTACGAGTTCTTTGTTGTCAGTTTTGTGTGTCATGGCATTAACCCTCTTTGTCTTTCTTCAAGTCTACAAGGGCCAAGCGATTAGTCAACAGAAGAGACAGACGGCTGCACGTGAGTGTTTTGCGTAATACTTGTTTATAGAGCTGCTGTTTGAATTATTACTTTCTGCTAGGAAGGAATATTTAGTTTTCTGCCTATTTCTACGTTATATTTTTGTTTGCGTTTGTATTTTTGATTGCACTTTCTGGTAATTATAATAATTGTCCTCGGCAAAGAAGGAGCGCATGTAATTTAATTGCTCCCTTCCTGCGTTTAAGTGCGAACTGTAGTTTCGATTTGAGGAACTGGCCTGCTATAGACTATTGGCTGTGCTAATTAGAAGGCGGCCACAGCGACTGTAGAGTATTTAAACTGCTTGGTCACTGTCATAACTCGGGCCAAGCGATTAGTCAACAGAAGAGACAGACGGCTGCACGTGAGTGTTTTGC